ATCGCCTGAGCCTTCCTCGCAACTTTTTCCGCAGTCGTGCTCTCGCTTCCATGCCAGCTACATGTTTGGTCCAGACGGCCACGACCCCTCCCAAAAGATGCACCGAAGTGCACACGGCCGTGCTCACACCCCCGTATCCGCTGCCTCGTTCGTACAGTCAGCCCGCATCATAGGGATGCGCGGTCAGGATACAAGGGCCTTGGAAAGCCATGTTGACATTGCTCGAGTGGGGTTGGCCAGAGAAAGACGCCAAGGTTGGGCCTGAGGGGCAAGGATGCGAGGGTAAACTTGGAAGACTCGCTCCTCCTTACTGTGCGGGCTGACTGCATGAATCCCTCAGGATGCCTACATCGCCGTGACGAAAGGTTCTTTCAATTTGCCTTTTGGCATGACGCGTTCGTGCGGAGTAGTTCGGAGTAGTTCTACTAAAACTACTCCGCGCGCAATCGCATCCCGCTCGGTAATCTATATGGTTTGGCGCGGAGTAGTTTCCGATCCCGTTTTGGGGCAACAGGGTTATTAACGTCTCCGAGATCGGAAACTACTCAGCCGAATGATCCCAGCATCATATCATGTTAGGAATCTTGAGGGGGATGGAAGAAATCTTCACCATAACAAATTGAAGAAACTTTTGTCACGGCTGTGTAAGAACGCACGTTCTCACTAGCCGACGTCCTACTCCTCGACCCGCCTCTTCACCTTTCTTCTTTTCGAAGTGTTGCTGGGAAAATGTTTGGGGCCCCTTCGGTCCGCCTGGAAACGGGTCTCGGGCTCATGGGACTCTGGCAGACCTGTCCAGGACACAAAAAACTGCCCTCGGATGAGGGGTCGAGGATATCGAGAACCTCTGGAAGCTTTGACATGTCTACAATGTTACCTGCACTCTCACCATCGATACCACCTGCATATCCTTCGCGCGCGCTCAAGTTCTAGCTAGCTTGGGCACCTGACCTGGGTATCGAGCGGAAGAGGCGAATCGTGTCGATGGCGCTGTAGGGAGCAAATCGGAGATTCTAGGATTCGTCCATCACGAAAAAGATCCGCGATTTGCCAGCGAATCCCTCGGCCTGCTCCTCTTCGGATTCGGCCTCGTCGTCGGCATCACTATCGCGCCATCCTTCTCATCCTCCTCGTCCACCCCCTCCGTTGCTCTCTCATTATTCGTCCTTTCCCCATCCGCTGCCATTGCTCCCTAGAAATACGCAAGCTCCCCCTTCACCGAAACTCGGGCTATCATCCTCTCCTCCCTGTCCGTCCTTTAGTCTACCGTCGCACCCCCTTTCCCGTCCGCCCCTTGCTCCTTCCCTTCTGGTTGCGCCCGCCGCCCGCACTGTCGCTTTCCTCCGACCCCATTTGTTCGGACCCCACCAGGGAGGCCTAGAACCGAATAATGGTGATGCTGATGACGATGGTGAAGATGATGGCGGTGCTGGTGATGATGGTGATGATGATGGTGATGATGACGGTGATGTGGTGGTGATGATGATGCTGATGATGTTGATGATGATGGTGCTGATGGTGGCGATGAGAATGCTGATGATGACGATGATCGTGATGAGGATGGTGGCGTGCTGATGTTGATGATGATGATGATGCTGATGGCATTGATGTTGATGTTGACGCTGATGATGATTATCATGCTGATGACGATGCTGATGATGATGCTGATGCGGATGACGATGAAGATGGTGATGATGATGATGATGATGATGATGATGATGATGATGATGATGATGACGTTGATGATCATGTTGCCGAGCATGCCACGTTGCCCATTGCTCCGACCACATATGGGAGGCCCAGCGATGGGCGATCCAACGGCCCTGACCGAGAGAAGACTCGGTTGCCACGCCCCGCCCCGATCGAGAGACAAGGCCCCGCAGGGCCGCGACCGAGCGGTGGCGCGGTGGCGCACGGGAGGGGCCTCCGAGTGCACCAGAAGCTTACTGTGCAGCATGCCTCGGCGACGGGCCCTCCTCCGCCTCCGCCTCCGCCTCCAGCACGAACGCCGCGTACGACGGCCGGGCTTTCAGGATGAACCCGGATACCTCCTGGGCCTTTTGTGTTTCATTACGCACGGTCGGACCTGGGACAGAAGCGTCTCCCTCAGGATTGTGTTGCCGGAGGCGCCTAGACAGAGTTATGGCGGCGACGGGCGGGGGGATGTACGGCATCATCATCATCAGCATCAGCATCATCATCATCCTTCTCCTCCTCCTTCTCTGTTCACGTTGGCCTGACTTTAGCCGCAACGCTGTAGCGTCTGGCGGGTCGCGCGACTGGAGAAACAAAGAACGCGCCTGAGAAAGCGGCCACGTTGTAAAATGTAGGGCTAAGTCCTTCTTCCATGTTTCCTCCTCCTCCTCCTCCTCATCCTCCTGCTGCTGTCGCTCAGCAGCAACCCCTGCTGTCCCAATGCACCCCAGTCCTTCGGGCCTATGACCTGGGCGATATTCTCTTTCACCGCGCCAAGGAATGACTCCTGAGCGAACGCGATCATGAAAGAGGTACAAACCAGACTGGTGGGCATAGAAGACAGACAAGTGAGGAGGGGAATGGGGAGTAAAAATATTGGCTCAAAGCTGGGGAACTAAGGAGATCAATCAGCTCCAATATAGGACTCTGTCCAGATGGAACGTGAAGGAGCAGTACACACACACACAGCACAGCGTCGACCCGATCCACCTTCCCGAATGGGTGTTTGTTTTTGTCCGTCCACTCTGCTCAAGTCTGAGAACAGCGGAAGGCCCGAACATCTTCTCACGTGACATGCCCTCCGCTAAAACTGCCAACATAATCAGCCCACCAGTCCAGTCAGTGGAACCAACGCTGCCTTGAAATCTGCCGTTAGCGCGAAGGATCTTCGAAGCGGACTTCTACGACGTACACCGTCATCACCATCACACAAACGCAGCCACCACCACCACCATCCTGCTCCTCCTGCTCCTCCTCCTCCTCCTCCTCCTCCTCCTCCTCCTCCTCCTCCTCCTCCTCTCATCATCATCATCATCATCATCATCATCATCATCATCATCATCATCATCATCATCATCATCATCATCATCAGCATCATCATCATCATCATCCTCATCATTATCGTCATCAACGCCATCACTTCATCAGCGTCAACATCTGCATCAGCTTCAGCACCAACGTCATCACAATCACCACCATCAACATCATCAGCATCATCAGCATAACCAGCATCATCATCAACCGCTGCAGAACCACCATGATCATCAGCATCACCAGAATCATCAGCATCGAAGTCATCATCCTCAGTAGTATCATCATCATCATCATCATCATCATCATCATCATCATCATCATCATCATCAGCATCAGCATCAGCATCAGCATCAGCATCATCATCATCATCATCATCATCATCATCATCATCATCATCATCATCATCATCATCATCCATCATCATCTTCATCACGATCATCATCATCATCATCATCATCATCATCATCATAATCATCACCATCACGAGCATCATCATCGTCAGCAGCAGCAGCATCATGAGCATCAGCATCATCAGCAGCAGCATCAGCATTAGCATTGTACGCATCATCATCACCAGCATCATCAGCATCACCAGCAGCATCATCGCAAGCATCATCATCACATTCGATTGAGTCAGTCAACCAATCAATAGATCAATCATCAACGTCGTCCTTCATCATCTTCGTGGTCACTTCTTCTTCAGCATCATCATCGAAAGTATCATCATCAGCATAAGCATCCTCAGCATCATCATCGTCACGATCCATAGCATCCCCGACATCCTCATCATCAGCCGCAGCATCATCATCACTCAATCATTATCATCAGCATCATCAGTATCATGACAATCATGGTCATCATGCTCATCATGCTCATCATGATCATCAGCAACAGCACCATCAGCGTCGCCATCATCATCAGTAGCAACGCAATCATCACTTCAATAAATCACTCAGGCATCAGCATCGTCATCAGCATCAGCAGCAGCATCATCATCAGCATCATCATCGTCATCAGTCATCACCGTCGTCATTATCATAATCATCATCATCATCAACAACATCATGAGTATCATCAAAATCATCGCCGCCATCATCATCACCATCATCAGCAGCATCATCAGCAGCAGCATCGTCATCATCATCAGCATCAGCATTAGCATCAGCATCATCATAATCATCATTCTTTCGAATCAATCAATCAATCAACCAATCAATCAAGCAAGCAATCATCATCGTCATCATCATCACCACTATCACCATCATCGTCCTTCATCATCGTTATCACTTCATCATCGTCTTCGTTATCGTCAGCATCAGCATCATCATCATCATCATCATCATCATCATCATCATCATCATCATCATCATCATAATAATTATCATCATAATCATCGTCATAATCCACAGCATCCGCGTTATCCTCATCACGACTCTCCCCAAATCCGGAGACACGAGGTGTCACAGGTGACGGCCTCCCCTGGCCTCTCGAACAGTCGCCACCCAGAGTGCCGGGCTGGCACGGTGGCGGGACCTGCCGCAGGGCAGCTGGGTACGTCTGGGAGGGCGGCGACAGGCCACGAGGAAGGGTCCCGCGGGGGGGACGGAAGCGATCATGGAGACGGAGCGGCCGTGTCCGAAAAGAGCGGAGGGGGGGCTCGCACAAAGGGGACACCTGGGCTTTGCCACGCGCAGAGTGGGGGAATTAGGGGGGGGGAAGAAGGCTTCTCAAAGGGGGCTGCTTCTCAGAAGGCGCGCACCTTGGTCTGTAAATACAAGGCCCGCGCATTCTGAGAAGCAGCCTCCTTCTAAGAAGCCTTCCCCCCTCCCCCTACCCCACACTGCGCGTGGTCGACGGACGTATGTTGCAATCAAGCGCGAGCCCCGAATGAGTTGCAACGTGTCTACGTGGAACGTTGTTGTCCTGTCCTCTTAGTCCATCGCCTGCTCTTTCTCGCACATCTGGCATCGCAACAGCTTTCGGCCCGAATCGGCCCAGAATCAGTCCCCGAGCCGCTTCTGGGACGCAACCCCGACCAGTGCTTCCAGCCGCGAGCCGCGCCCAGCCACGACGGCGAGGGGCCTCTCGGGGGCAAGACAGGCAGGCACGCACGTGACTACCTACCAGACCACCCCAACCCAACCCGAAGACCCGAATTTCGGGTTGGGGGGGGTATGGGCTCCATACGTGTTTTTTCGATGTTCCCCAAGCCCCCCCCCACTAGAAATCGAGGGTAAATCTGAGCCTTCGGGTTGGGTTGGGGTGGTTTGGTAGGTGGTGAGCACGAAAACGATCCCCGAAACGAGACAGAAGACGACAGAGGACTGCCTCGCGGCCCCTCGGCCTCGAGCCCAAATATATCGAACGTCGTGACCTTTCCCGCGACGTGGGCCCCGAGGGGCTCGACCCCCACATCTGGGGGACGGGCTCTCTCCGCTGCAGGAACGCTCTGTGCTGGCCTCGGGGACCGACGACTGTGAAGGGGCCCCAGAACACACAAATAAATACACACAAATAAAACTATTCCCCATATTTTCCCATATTTTCTGGGTTTCTGTCTTCCCCCCCACTTCCCATAGTTTCCCATATTTTCTGGGAAATCGACGATTAATTGTGTCTGTGTGTTTTTTTCCCTCCTGAAACTGCCCGGTGAGCACCAGAAAGGCGCCTGTACTCGAGGCCTCCCAAATGGGATCCGAGTAGATGGGGTCGGAAGAACGCCCCGCATCGCCGACGCATCACCGACGCATCGACGATGCATCGGTGACGTCGGAGGTGCATCGGCGACGCCGGCGTGGAGAAAGCCGGGCTCCGCATCGAGCCGCATCGATGCATCGGCGAGGCGACGCGGTCCTCTGACCCCACCTGCTCGGACCCCACCTGTGAGGCCTAGAACCGAAATATGATGTCGATGAGAGTGTTGCTGATGATGGGTATGTTGATGCTAATGTTGACGATGTTGAATTATAGGATCAAAAAAAAACATAGGCATAAACTTGTAACGGTCCGCGCGGATTTCCTGGATCTGCGCGGGACCCCGCGCCAAAAACGGCGCTGGAGGCGCCGCCGGAGGGCCCAGGCACGGATCCAAGAAATCCGCGCGGAACGCCAACAGATTTCATGTTCATGGCGTTTTTCCTTCCTAGATGTGTCGATTTCAGTGTTGACGCTGTTGACGGATGATCATGATCATGACCATCATCAGCAGCATCGCCAGCCTCAAAACCAGCACTAACAGCACCACCACTAGCGAACCCGGGCCGTGGCTCGGGGTGGGCCACGGCCTGGCGTGGCGGCCGTGCGCAGGGTGCCCTCTGCGGGGCGGATCTCGGAAAAGGCAATTTGAAATAGTTGGAGAAGTTAAGAATCGCCCAGAATAGTGGAAAAATCGCCGCTTGACTATTTATGTGATTCTTGACGATTCCTCCTGTAGAAGGACGCGCCCGACTGAAAACCGGAGCCGAGGCAAGGGGCCCATCGTGCAGTTCCTCTCCTTGGCGGCGCCGTAAGCCTGCGAGAGCGGCCCCCCAAGCAAAGGAGAGAAAGTGAGCGCTCCTGTCGCAAGCGCTGCGCGCGGGGAGCAAAAGGGTTAAGATTCAGAACCACCTTTGGGATAATTTTCTTGTCGGCGAAAACCCACAACATCTGGTAAGAAGGGGGGGAAGGAGGTGCCGGCCGATAACCCAACTTTTTCGCGCTAGGCAACCCTGCGCATGCCCGCGCGCCGTCTTGCGTACCCCTTTCGGATCTGCAGAACGGACAAGGTCAGGCTATCCCGGAGGGCGGCGGCGGAGGCGGAGGAGATGGAGGCTCAAGACGCCCGCCGCGAAGGCAGAGAGCAGAGCAGAGCAGAGCGGCCAGTGGGGAGGCGGGAAGCCCGCCTGTCTTGGCAAGGCGCCAGGCCGACATTACTGGCGAGATGTGAAAATCTCGCAACGTGTGAAAATGTGAAACAACAGCGCGAGATGAGACAATTACCGCGGCGCGGCGTGGCAGACGTCGAGCGTCAGGCGCCCGGCTGACAATGCGGTCATCAACGGGGGAATCAGGAATTGGAACAAGCACACGTCTGTCCACATTTTTTTTTTCCGCGGGCGGCCTACGCTTCTGTTCGCGCGCGCTCGAGACCAAGGCTCCCAATTAACAAGTCTCGCGTTCCAGCTGCTGTCGGTGGGCGAGGACAGCTTACCCGCTAATGCCCACTACTCTTTTCAGAACATCGACACCCACTCGTCCACGCCGCTTCGATCAGCAGGCTGCATAGTGGCGCTCGCAGGCCGCAGGATATACTCAACCCAGTTTTCGTCAGGAAGCCGTCGAATATCCACCATCTGTCTCAGCAGCCGGCGCTGCGTGGATCGCAGTTTTCGCTCTCCTCGGCCGCTGTGCGCGTCCAGGTGTTGGAGGCGTACAGAACGCAGGGCGCCACGCATGCTTTGAACAAATTCATACGCCGGTGGGTCTGGAGGCGCTTGTTGCACAAGAAACCCT